AGCATTCTTACTGAGATTATTGTAGATGGTGGCTCCAGATCTGGTGGCTTTGGAGAAAGAAGAGGTTAGCATCATTTTCATCATTCTCATCATTTTTTATTTCCAGAGGGTGGTTTTTCTGATCGTAGAGGTAAATTTTTCCTAAAGATATGGCTACCTCTGTATTGTAGAAGGTGATCGCAGATCAAGTGGCTTCGGAGAGAAGAAAGGTTTGTTTTATAGAAGTACATATTGCAAATAGACATTGCAGACGGAGGTTTTGGATCAGGTGGCTTCGGAGAGAAGAAAGGTTTGGTTCTGGTTATCTGCACTGGTACTTCGTAGTTACAGAAGGTGGATTCGGTGGCGGAGGATTTGGAGAAAAGAAAGGTTTGGTTCTGGTTACCTCAAATGGTACTTCGCTATTCCAGAAGGTGGATTCGGTGGCGGAGGATTTGGAGAGAAGAAAGGTTTGAGAATCGTAAAACTTATGTAAAGTTGCTTTTATAGAAAGCAGTTTTGGAGAGAAGAAAGGTTTGTTTCTTGGAGAGAATTCTTTAAGAAAATGAGTTCAGAAGGTGGATTTGGATCGGGAGGATTCGGAGATAAGAAAGGTTTGCTTCTGTTCAGGCTCACCAGTACTTCGTAGTTTCAGAAGGTGGTTTCGGATCGGGAGGATTCGGTGATAAGAAAGGTTTGCTTCTGGTAACCTTCATTGGTACTTCGTAATTTTAGAAGGTGGATTTGGATCGGGAGGATTCGGAGATAAGAAAGGTTTGGTTCTGGTCATTCTCGCCAGTACTTCGTAGTTTCAGAAGGTGGTTTCGGATCGGGAGGGTTCGGAGATAAGAAAGGTTTGGTTCTGGATAGACTCACCAGTAATTCGTAGTTTTAGAAGGAGGATTCGGTGGTGGAGGATTTGGAGATAGAAAAGGTATACATTTCATAACAATCTTTAATATACTATAGATTCAGAGAGTGGATTTGGTTCCAGCAGTGGCTTCGGAAATCAGAGAGGTTCCGATTATCAAAATTATAGTTACCTAAAAATATAGAAAATGGATCAAGATCAGGCGGATTCGGTTCCGATGGTTTTGGAAGAGGTCTGTTTCTATTTTTGTTTTTGGTTACTTCTGATGGTTCAAAAACTTTTCGTTACATTGTGAAAACTTACAGATTCAAGAGGAGGTTTTGGTGACAGTAGTGAAGGATTCGGAAGAGGTTTGTGACAGTTGTGTAGTTTTGTTTTGAACTATTTGTTATAGGTGGCGGTCGTCCCCCGATGAGTATCGTAGCTTGAAAAGATCATAATTCATATGTTTACTTTTAGAATGCTTCAAATGTAATGAGGAAGGCCACAGAGCCGCAGATTGTGGTGAGAATTAATTTAAGCTTCTGTGAAAATTTAACTTTTAGAAAATGGCGGTGGTGGATTCGACAGAGGATTTAACTCTGAAAACCGTTCATTTGGAAAAGGTTTCAATGATTCCTCCAACGATTTTGGTGAGAGTAGCTTCCGAAATGGCGGAGGTGAGCGTTCAAACAAATGCTTCAACTGCCAGGAAGAGGGTCACAGAGCAAGTGATTGCACAGCACCAAGGAAAGAACGAGGTTAGAAGTTGGAAAAGTCCTTCATTGATATCGTTTTTCAGAACCCAGAGACGATGGTTTGAGTGAAGTTTTAACAGTTGAAATTCTTTTGTTCAGATGATGGCCCCAAAGCTAGTACTTTCATCCCCAAAGAACTAGGTGAAGAAGAGCTTTTCAATGAAAGAATTGAAAAGGGGTTGTATTTCGAGAAGTTTTTCGATGCCAAAGTAGCTATCACAAGTGGAGGGCTCCATGGCAATGTTGAGAGTATTAAACCATTGGAGTAATTAATTCTTTTATTCCAACGAAAAACATTTTCCACTCTTAGATCATTTGAAGCCTTGAATTTGACCAATCGTCTTAAACAAAATGTCGTAACCGCCGGATATTCGAAGCCAACACCCATCCAACAGTATGCTGTCCCTATCATTCAACAAGGTTTTTCCCATTTGAATACTAATATACCTATTATCTGTTAGGACGAGATTTGATGGCATGTGCTCAAACAGGATCTGGTAAAACAGCAGCTTTCTTACTCCCTATCATGCAATCGCTCATCGAAAAAGATGATTTGTGCAATTCGGCTGAAGTTGTCTGCGCACCTAGGCTGGTACAATAATTCACGAGCTTTTCTCATCTATGTTTCAGATGCCTAATTGTTGCTCCCACTCGTGAATTGGCTGAGCAAATCTACAATGAAGGAAAGAAGTTCGCCTGGGGCACTATAATGACCATAAAGAGAGTCATTGGAGGCTCTAATGTTCAGTATTCGTCGAAAGATTTGAGAGGAGTAAGCTACCATTTTCTGTGTTCACTTATTTGTTTTTAAGGGTGGAACTATAATTGTTTGCACTCCTGGAAGACTCTTACATTTTGTCGAAGAAGGATTCATCAGTTTGAAAGAGGTTCGTTTATGATCAGTTCATTAAGAGAATATCGTACTAGGTTCGTTACTTTGTATTGGATGAAGCTGACAGAATGCTCGATATGGGTTTCGGACAAGACGTTGCTAAGATAGCTGGTGGAATGTGCGCTAAAAAAGATCGTCAAACTCTCATGTTCAGGTATAGTTTAATTTTTTAGTTATAATCAAACCAATGCATCCAGTGCAACTTATCCAGCTGAAGTTCATGAAGTAGCTACCTCTCAGTTGAGAGAAAACTATTTGATGATTGCTATCGATTCTATTGGAGCTGCCAACAAATGTATTACCCAAGTAAGTTCGTTTTTCTAACTGTAATCTAAGGAGGATATAGGAATTCATCAACTGCCAAGACAAGAAAGACAAACTCGACAAACTGTTCGAACTTCTCAAAGTCGATTTGGAAACTTATACAGCACATAAAGGTATTCGTTATGTGCCTGGATACAGTTGCGATCTTTTATTTTGTCAGATTCGGATGTGTTCAAGAAAAAGACCATCATCTTTGTTGGAAGGAAATCCTTCGCTGATACTCTCGGAGCTATGCTGATCCAAGCTAATATCGACGCAACCACGATTCATGGTGATAGAAGACAATTCCAAAGAAGTGAGGCCATTGGAGAGTTCCGTTCTGGAAAGAAACCGGTAATGAATTATTTCACGTTCTCTTTTGACTTCTGCTTCGCAGGTTTTGATTGCTACCGCTGTCGCTGAGCGTGGTTTAGATATTAAAGGTGTTGACCATGTTATAAACTATGAATTACCCGACTGTATTGAACAGTATGTACATAGAATCGGAAGGTCAGTGTATAATAATTCTCTTATATTGATGCGAATCCTTTCAGAACTGGACGATTGGGTAATCCCGGTCGTGCAACCTCTCTTTACTGTTCTGAATACGATAAATCAATTGCCTATGAATTAGTTCAAATGTTAACTGAAGCTGAACAAGTATAGTCCGAATGCTTAGAGCATCACTCTTATCTCTACTCTTCAGGTGGTACCCGATTGGTTGCAAACCGAAAGTGCTGGAGGAAATATTGGAGGAGATTTTACGGGCGGTGCCACTGATGTAAATTATGATGATTGGTAAACCAATCAGTATTGTTTTTTGCGTTGTTTTTGTTGAAATAAACTATATTGCATGTTATTTTGTTTGAGATCTGAGTCGGAGGTGTTAAAAGGTAGGTGGCATATGAGCGTAAGGGCTCCCCGCCCACTTCTCATGAAGCCCCGCCCACCCTGCTATTTGTATTTGTCTGCTACGGGCAATTTGTTGGAGAAGCAATGGAATGCTCAAGATAACGTAGAATGTACGCCGTATTATTTTTATTTTCCCTCTTTAACTTGTCGTTTACAGGTGAGCTTTTAATTTCTTGATTTTCGTTCATGTTAACCTTCTTCCTCATAATTTCTGCGACCTCTCTTATGATTCTCGAGACTCTTCGAGTGTTTTCTGCTTCTGTTTTGCGAGATAGTTTGATGTGAAGCCTTCGTTTTATCCCGATCATTAGAATAAGATGTCATTGTGGGTATTTTAAAATTGAAAGCTTCAATGTCGTTGAGTTGTCAATTGTACCTGAAGTAGTAGAAGCGCACATTTTGGTCTGGTGGCAGACAGAAATTCGTATGTTTTGTTGTATCTCTTTCTTTGCATTCTCCAGATGTTTGTCTCGATTACGTAATCGTCGAAGCTTGTTCACTATGTCTGAATCAAGCCGGAAAAGGTGCACGTTAGTGAAAGCTAGAAACTGATGTTTGCACAAGCCTGAATCGTCTTCGTCGCTTCGTTGTGTCAGGACGGGTTCTGGAGTTTCTTCGTAGTGACAACACACACCGGAATAAACTCCAGAGCTGAACAGGATGATGACGGTTAATTTAAACAACATTAATTCCTTAATATTTCCGGAAACTTTTTTTTATGTCTTAATTGACTAGAACGGATTATTTCTGAACATTTTTTTACGGTTTTACGGTCAGAGGGAAGTGCAAATCGATGAACATGATCATGTTTGATTTGCTTAAGCAGGTGCATATTGTGAGAGTTAAATGACGACCAGAGATATAGTATATGCACAGAGAGATCCCTTTCTCTATGAAAGTTGCTTTATAAAGATGTAAAGGATCATTCTCGCTCTTCCCATGTTGTCTTTTCTTTGAATTTGTTATTCATGTCCCCCGTTCTCTCTCTCTCTTTCTCTCTCCCTCCCTTTCTTTCTGTTGAAGTTATTGTTGAGAACGAATTCAGAGCAACAATACATATACATAAAGATGGAAAAACAAAGTTGGGAGCTGTAGGGATAGTATGATAGATCATATACGGTTATACAGCTTATCATGCTTATTGTTGGTTGAGTGCTTCTTTCGTTCTAGTGTGTTCAAAACAGAAGAGCAAAGAAACATAAAGTATTTTGCAGTTGATGGTCTGACTGTCAGCCAACTTTACCAATCACCCATCATGAATTATTGAAATTCTGATGCGGAAACGTAATATCAACGCATGTCAACTGACTTTGGTATAATCTCATTGGGAGAGTAAACCACCCAATCGACTGGATCTTCCATTGATTTCAGCATATTTTCATGATCACATATGAAAATATATATAATATTTCTAAATGTTTGTAATGGTGTGGGTAGCTTAGTCGGTAATTCGATTTTCAATAGGCGAAATATGATCCATAATATCTAAGCCTTGACGGTACATACACCTTGCTTCTCTTGCACTCTCTCCCTTATTCTTTTATGTATCCACCTTTTCATATCTCATAAGCTCTTACGGCTGGTCTCTCTTACTATCTCTCCCTCTCTCTCTCTCTGTTACCCTACCTCTCCTCTCATCACAAGGTAATGAAACTCACTCTCAATTTCCATTATATAACTTAATAATAAGAACGTAAAAATCGTTTCGAATATACATCAACAGTGAATCTGGTCTAAAAGCTTATGACATTGATATGTCGTTTAATTATTTGAATTAGTTAAACAAATCTCAAAAATGCTTATTCCTGATTAGCTTGCGCTTGGTCTTGTCAAACGGAAAACGAATTCCTTCGAAAATTGCACTACCTGCGCTGACCAGCTTTTCTATTCAACTGAAACAGGGTGTCGGTTTTTTTCCCAAGAAAAAAATGCTTTGAAACGAAATTGGAAACAAGAGTACATTTGAGAAGAACAAAAACACTCAGTACAGCATATTTGCATAATGTGTTTCCACGTTGGATAATTGCGCGTTACTTTTTGAATGCACTCAAAAATCATTTTTACTTGGGGGACGCGGGTATCTGGTTGTTCATGAGGCAGTAATTTTGAATTTAGCTCATTCTGTTATTTCAGAAAAACTTGACGATGTCGTTGTTTGTCGTCAGGGAACCTTTCAAGTCTTAAATGATGAAAATCCCGTCGCAACACTTCTTGCATATTCTAATTCAAAACGGGACCATGTGGCAGCTTTACCTAACGAAAATGACACTGTCACAGTGAATTTGTTTGAAAACAGAACAGGTTCGTCATTGTTTCGTTTTCTTGATCAACAGTTGTTTTTTCAGACTCAAATGAAGCTGTTCGTTGTACGCTTCGAGTTGAAACCTGCTCGAGTTGTTATATCAATGTAAAATATTCTCCACCAAGTTCGTACTTCAAGGAGCGTGAACTCAACTTGGTAAGTGGATTCTCTTGACACACACACCATTTTCCATATTGTTGGCTGTTCTATTCGTTTAGCTTGAATGTATGCGAGAGGAAAGCTAGATTTTTAGCTGTTAGAGATTAGCTTAAGCTTATAATTGATATATGGGGGATTAGAGACAGGTCGTTGCCTTGGTGACAAAAGCATGACAAGCAGTTGAGAGGAACATAATCACGGCTTTTTATGCAAATTATTTGTTGAAATGTATTCGTATTAGAGAAAATATCTCGCTAGCTATAGTCAGAAAAAGGGAAAACATGACAGAGTATCCGAATGTCAACAGAATTGCATTCTCAAAGTTTTGTGAAACAGGATGATGTTTTTAAAATAATTTTTGTGAAAGTACGTAAGAATAATTATTGAGGGAAGTAGGAAGGTCAATCAAGGTCAAGTAGAAGTATTGCTTTATTGTCTCATTCATGCTATAGAGTATCTCAAAGGCGAATGCTATTTCTCACTTTTCATAAATATAGCTGAAAATAAGATCATATATAGATATTTACAACTAAATTATATAAAAGAGGGACGCAAACAATACATTCACGCATATTCACACGTTTACAAATCATATTCATATTCAGATGCCAACTTGTATGGAATCAGCTGTTGATCCATGTTTCGAAATCAAGTTTATTGAGGAGAAAGCAGATACTGCTCTGGATCTAATTTACAAAAAAATTTCAATCTGGGATGAGCCGATGAGGTTTCATTAGTTTGCTTTATGACTCAATTGTTAGCATATTATAGGAGCGACTATAATAGTTCTGGTGATAGTTTATTAATTCTATTGACTATGAGGAACATTGAAAAGAATTCTACATTGAATACATACATACAGGTTATACTTGTTCTACTAATCTAACTCACTTTGATGATTAAGGAGTTATTCCCCTTTACTATATCCTCTCTATCCAATACAGAGAATGTCACAGGATTTCCTTCTGAGAATATTCTGATTGCAAACCAATCGTCCGTAGGATTTATTGAGTCACCGAGGTTTCTCAACTTCTTCACAACGATTCTAATTACATATCTCTTATAGATATCCGGCTGCATATCCAAGAAGTGTAGTAAAGAAATATTATTTGACAAATATGAATACTGACGGCTATGTCAGACTAATCTTTGATGATTTTCATGTGCATTTCCAAAGTGAACTGGAGGTAAGGCTCAGTCTTCCAGCTCGCAGATTAATCCAAATTTCTCAGGTGTTTGATAGTGATGGTTCCTTGCTGATTAACACAAAGAATGATCATCGTCGCCCCCCTGCATTCATTTCTCGCGGCAACAACATGACTGTACGATTCCGAGGAAATGATTTTACGCAGATGGTTGGATTCCGAGCTCGTTATGAGTTTGTTGAAGACCATGATTGGCCTGAGAAGCCTAATATGCGAAGTATGTACTGATTCATATTGATTGAATTGTAATCATCTTGTTTCCAGATTGTGATGAGCACTTAGAAGGCTACGGAGGAGAGATCAAGTTAGAAGGAAATGGATATTTAGTTAACAGTTATGTCGATTGCATATGGATCATTGGACGTCTTCCCCATATGAGTAGAACATTCGACAGAATTCACCTCAAGGTACTATAACTGATAAGTGTCCACATGCTGAAATTATTTTTTCAGGTGGAAGATTTTCATGTTAAAGGAGTCGGTTTAAGATTAGAGGTACGAGAAGGAGCTTCATCAATCTCCGACCGTTTACTTCTTCTCTTCGATTCTCAAACTAGGGACCAGCTCGAGCACAAACAACCTAGGTAACTTTCTTATGACATCGTTGAACTACTTCTTGATTACAGACACGGGTTCACAACCAGCCTCACACATCCAGCTTACTACGTTCGACTTCGTGGTTTCTTGATGAGCACCAGTGGGCTCGAGATAGTGTATTCCCAGTTTTACCGATGGGCTACTGCATTATGCCCCGGAATCGGAGAATACCACTGTGATAACGCCCGTTGCATTAAGGTAATTATTGTGTTTGTTAGAGTTACATAATTGCTTTCAATTGTAGGCTACGCTACGATGCGATGGAATTAATCACTGTGGTGATGGAAGTGATGAAGAATGTCACAGGCCTTTGACTGATCACACTAGTTCTATGAATCGACTAAACGAATTCAAACATCCAGAAGCTGACATCTCAGGCCTTATCGCTTTAGTTGTGGGAGTCTGTGGATTGATTCTTTTGCTCATATCAACCACTGCCGTAATTACTCGAATTCATCGACGACGTCTTGCTCAAGCCTCGCGTGCTCTTAGTCCTAGAAATGCTGCAGGTACGAAGTGAAACTTCCAACTTGAAGTTATATAGATGCTTTCAGGCACAACAGCTTTCAATTCTGACGTTACGGGTCCCTCCATACAAACGGTTGGTGAACGACGTTTTTATGTTGTTCCGGAGAACCAAATATCTGTCATAGAAGCTCCTCCATCTTATGATGATGCAATGAAACATGCAGCTGTAAGCATTGATTGTAATGTCAAAAGTTTTATGTTCCGTTTTAAGGTTACAACAACACCTACATACACTAATCAAGCTTATAGACCCAGTACTTCTGAGGTATACATCAAACAAACGTGATTTTTTAATCCTGACCTATGTTTGCAGAGTGATTTGCAACAAAGTCGGCCATTATCACCACAAGAGCCGCCGCCTGTTTTAGAGGAATTAGATATCGAAAATCGAGAGCCAAGCTCTACTCAAAGAACAGAAAACGATGAGATCGAAGCTGATCAGACATCCAATCAGCCAAGCACATCACGATCGTTCAGCAGTCGAGCGAACAGGGATGATGAATCATGGGTTTAAAAAATTGACAATTTCAACCAAAGAATTATACGGGTTACAACTATTCTATGCAATTGTATGTATATGAGTTGAGAAACAAATGAAGATTTTAATGAAAAAGGTGTTCTGTTCACTAGTTTACAGTCGAGTCTGTTGCTTTTACAACTCTGAGAAATCAGTTGAGTAACACCCTGCCAACCCTCCATCAGATCAACGTTTAAGAAACAACATCGAATGATCTTTGTCTGTCCGAAATCAAAAGTAGTTTCAATTCAGAGGAAATTTGCTCATGTCAACCATTCTCTCCCTTCTCTCTTTGCACTCTATCTCTCTAGAACAGTCTTTCGTCCGCTTTAACACTTACATATAAACACAAACGTACACACAGACACACATGATGGAACAACAAGAAAAGCTGAATCTTGTTATCCTTCGCTAGCTCTCCTTATATGTCGTTTGTCAAATATGCAAATGCTTGAATAGATTTTTTTCTTGGAAGGACTAAATGGATTTTTTTGATGGGACAGTCCTTTACTATGTCAGTGCGCCTACCTGACTGCTGACCCCGATCCTGTGTGGCGTCTGCTTTCGATAATATCTATTTGTGAGGGAAGACAACAGTCTTGTTTTCTACGCTTCGCCTTGTGTTTCCAATGAGATATTTACCAATTTTCGCCTTTATAAGGAAAATTATCTTAAACATATCAAAAATTCTTTTTTTTTCAAATTTTAAAATTGGAATACCTGTTCTTACCTGCTACCGGTTCTTTCTCTCTCTATCTCCCTCTCTCTCTCTCTATCTGTCTGTCTGTTAGTTCCAATCTCTTCTTCTTTATCTCTCCTTTCTCTCTCAAAGTTCTTGTTGTAGTTTCGGAGCGAATGTTCTTCTAAGCTTTAATCGGATGGTTGACGTACTGTCATCTTCGCATATTCGGAACTTGCCGGAGCGGGAGCAGCTTGCTCTTCTTGTGCAACAATGGAACGAAAACCGCTTGGATTTGTTTCATCTGAGTTATCCGACGGAGGTCATTATTTATAAGAGGCGAATATGTGAAAAAATTAGATTTTTTTAGGAATTAGAGATTGAAGGAGTCATGCGATTCTATTTTCAAGTATGTTTCTCTTGTGGGAGTATTGATTTTATTTTCTTAAATTGCTAGGACGGTGGAGAACGAGTCCTCACAAAATGTGTCCGTGTTTCAAGTACAGCAACAACTAGGGCAGTTGTAGATGCATTAGCGGACAAATTTCTTCCTGATCTAAAAATGCTCACTGATGATAGTTACTCACTTTGGGAGGTAATTGTAATGGAATTCACAATCGTTTCTCACAATGCAACATTAGGTACACGAAAACAGTTCAGAGAGAAAGTTAGACGATGAAGAGAAACCTCTTTTGGTTCAATTAAACTGGCATCGTGATGATAGGGAAGGACGTTTTCTACTTCGAAGGGATAATCAGCCGACGATTCCATTATCTGTAGGATCATGACGTGTATTCCTTTTTAGTTCTTTTTTTCACAGCTTGTCCAACAACAACAAGTTCAAGACGCGAAAGTCAGTAGGTATACGAAGAAAGACAAGAAAGAGAATCGGAAGAAGACGAAGGATATCGGTAAGACTTTCCTTTTCTCAGCTTTCTATATCCAAACATCACAGTTACCTTAAATGGAGGACGGGAAGAACCAATTGTTATGAACGATATTTATCGGCAGGTTCGTTTGTTTTGTGATTTCCAATTGCATTCCTTGTGAGGGTTTAGGTTCCGCAAAATACGTTCACTAGAACCATTTCTAACCCGGAAGTTGTGATGAAGAAGAAGAGAGAGAAGAAGCTAGAAGCCAAGCTTAAAGAGATCGGTCATGGTAAGCTATATCTAGCAACGAACTAGAAACCCATCATCTATGCTTTAGGTGGCAGTTTGAAGATCTATGGAGGCGAGTTGATGCCGTCTAGGCCGTACGTGAGCATCCTCGTTTCGGTTGAAGATGATGCAGCGAAAATTCTGACAGAAGCTCTCGAGAAATACGGCTTCGAGGCAAAGTCCGGAGAATATGTGCTAGTCGAGGTAAATATTTCGATTTTTTTTTCTTAATCGGCGAAGTCTTTTTGTGTCTTCCATCAAAAGGTTTGTTAATATTATTGTTTGATCCATTTCTGTTGTAATTGCTTGCCCGCGTTATGCAAAAAAATGCGTAACATTTTTCCGGTTTGCTTATTGATTTGTGTTGATTGCTACGGCCAAATCTAACGATGTATCCATTTAGAAGCATTATTAATATTATAAAAGATCAGGTTATTAGTTAATCTAACTTATTCATTGCTCTCATGTCCATTTCATCCTTCTTCATTTGCAGTTGCCCGTGTCCGGAAACAGACGTAGTTTTACTGACGTCCAAACGAACGAAGGACGAATTGTTGACGTACACGAACGCCCGCTCAAAGAAATGCATTTCACAGAAAATGGCCCTGATACTTACTTAGCCATACGAAGGGCTCCTCCTGACTATCGGTTTGTTTTCATTTCTTCAATTATGTGTTTTTAACGAAAGTTTTTTCTTTTTTCAGCGCTCCTTCTACTATCATTAATGATAATGTTGTTCCACCAGCCCCTTCTCAGAATAATCTTGAAATTGATCCCGCATTCTTAGTTCTACAACCCGGTAAGTATTTCTTGACCAGCGTTTATGCTAATTAAGTCGTGGCACTTTCACGGACTTTTCACGTCGACTCGTGAATAGTTTGTTCAAAAGCTTGCGTCATCATTCTCAGTATAAACACCGCACTAACAGGTTGTGTATGTTTAATTTTTTTTTTAATAGATGGCAGCCCGTCTGATCCTCCCCAATGGATTAATATACTGCCGGGAATCACTGAAGTTGGAAGTGATAAATCATTAGTTCAATACTCTCCTGAATCACAGAACATCTATGTAAGCATTGAATTAATTGATGTCATTATGCTAGAAAGTTCAGATTGATTCGCATGATGTTTGTGGAAGACATTGTGTCATAACACTCATGGATGGAATAACTACAATAACTCCAAGTGCTGATGAAGCTAGACTTGAAGTGAGTTTCCTGTAAAAGCTGTTTTGGAAATTCTATAAAATGCTATAGGTTAATCAAAAAGTCATTCGACAAACCGAAATTCTTTCGAGTGGTTCCATAATAGTTGTTGGGAGGAAGAACTTATTCCAATTTTTCAACAACAAAGTAAGTTTAGAATATTCCTAGTTTCGTTTCCTCTGTCCCCTCTATTTTGCGTACAACTCTCGAAATTTAGCATTCAATGAATTCGGAAGCTCTGCAATCTGAGTATAGCGATATTAGCCACGTAATAAACACAATGAGGTATGTTTTTTTTCTCATTCCAATTCTGTCGGATCTCGTCTTGACCTTATATCTAGATTATACAAAAGTTTTTGCCCCCTTTGTGGTTCTGAGTCATTTAGTAGCCTTATGTTAAATGTGGAATGCATGTGCTAATCGTTTTTGTCCTGTACGACAACAATTGCTTGCTGTTCATTTCTTTACAAGCGTTTGAAGCCTATTTGCCTTGAAGTGCAGCCTATACGATCCACCCAAATCGCCTTTTATTGGAGTAAACATTGGTGAATTCAACGTTAACACCACTCTTTTTTTCCTCTCTTTGACTATGTGAGAACGTGTATTTATTTTATGAAACGACGTGAATAGAGTGTTCAGTAGGAGTATCAGTATATTTCCAACGAAGGGCATGCAGATAATGATCGACCCGCAGGAATATATTGTCTCATCATTTGGGGGTTATTATGCATTCGTGTGTATGTGTATGTATGTAAGAGTCTTTTCTGATATAATCATCTCGTATCTTTGGGTTATGTCGTCTTCTCAATACTTACAGAAGTATTCAGCCGTATCTTTGTCACTTCAAGTTCTTACATGCTATCAGTTATTGTGCCCTATAACAAGCAGTATACATACATGTTGAACAGATAGCTTCACCAATAGCACCTCGGTTGCACCGACCACTAACCGACTGATTGTTCATCCAGCTCGGAGCTTGTCGTTTTGTCGCTTGTTTGGACCAAAGCAATTGTGACCTGGCGATTGGTGACTGTTGTTTGCCAATTCTATGTGCGACGGTCTAGCGCTGACTTGCAGGGAATGTGCGCTGTCACCTTTGATAATTCCCACTTCACATTGAATGATTCATTGATCGATTATACATATTAGCTCACCCGGAACAACTAACATTTGCATAATTTTTGAATGTCGATTTCGTCTTTCTAGTATTCGTTTTGCTCATTAACGACTGTGATTTTTACGTATTAGCTGTTGGTATTGGCTGTGGCTAACTGTTTGCTTCGAAACTCGAATTTCTCAGTTTCACGCTAGATTTGGAAAATGCGACGAGCAGTCTCTACGCAACACGTCTTTCAGCCAGCGTTTGGAGGAACTAGTAATTCTTCCAGTCGACAGTTGAATCAGGTGTTTAAATTTTCCTTACCATTCCCTTCCTAACGTTTGGTTAACTAAATTTTGATCTAATGAGTTGATTCAGTTCTTTTCTTTTTGTTTCGTTTTTTCACAAATTAATTTGAGTGTTCTCCTATGGGCTACGGCCAAACTGACTCCAAGTACACTAACAAATCATCAACTCCTGATGTAACTTCGTTACAGTTAAGACGACTGTGAGTTAATTAATGTTGTCTTGTTCGCACTGTGATGTTTATGTCCTTCGTTGAGATTGTCCGCTTCTTAAACCTAATGCACGATGCAGATTTTCCTGTCATAAGTTATTCATGAGAATTCCTTTACGTTTAAGTACATTTCCTCTTGAGCTTTGTTCGTTCCGTATTTGCATGATTCCATTGATGTCTACTCTTCTTTCTTTCCGCCCTGGTTTATGATGTTTGTTTCTTTAGCCTGTCTGGATCGTGTTCGGATTTAAGGAAGTCGTCTGATCCTCAAAGGACGCGTGGAGCTGTCCAAGTATCTTCCACCATGGGACAAATGACTCTTCCTATTTCTCTCCAAATTGGAGATTACAAGGTTTGGGATTACCTTGTTGAGGTTTGTTTGAGTGTTCACTATGTCTCATAATTTTATGCTTAGGTTATGTCCCGCGGTTATGCAGATTCGGCTGCTTTCCGTTTGTCTCCAGCTTATTCTCTTTATCTTGCCTTGAGGTTCTTTCATTCTCATTCAAAGCCCTATCTTGTTCAGTTTTTTGCTCGAATCAGTCATCACATGACTCAAATCTCTCAGGTATGCCAGTCATATGGTACGATGTTTCATTAACAAATGTTAAGGAATGTACATCAAGAGATGAACTCATTTTTTGGTTAGCCAACGCTAGTGAACTTTCCCAGATTGTTGAGCGCAATCCAGATCTCCGAACACCTCGGTATTGTCCTATCAGAATAGAAGGTTAATTTGAAAGTGTTCTTATAGTTCTGGCCAATTTGGGACAGTGGTTGAAGGAGTTTTCCGCCGCTTATGTACCGTTTTGTTAGGAGCAGTTCGACCGCTATGTCGACCTATGCTAGATCCTTGGTTAAGTGTAGAAGAGGCAACAAGTGGGTATTTGTCCTTCTAAACATTGCTTTTCTTATTTTTTCTTCGATCATCATCTTACTTATTTGCCTTTCCAGGGGAACTGATCCAATTATTGGATACCACCTTGAGATCAGCAAGATCTTCTCGATTGAATCCAGCCCTCACCATCCAGCTTTCTAGTCAAATGTTCCATACCATAAATGCCACTCTTTTCAATAACATGGTTGGAGCTGGATCAATTGTAAGCGTGTTTAGTTTTTGAAAGAAACAACAACTTATCTTCAGCAAGTCGATTTGACTACTAGGTTGGGTAGATGTCTTGTTCAGCGACTTGCAGCTTTGCATAGGTTTGCTTCTAGCTTCCCGCCATCAAAGTGTATTTCATCTATTAGGTGGGCTGAACAAGTTGGTGTGGAACTAACTGCAGAGTGTCACCTTGATCGTTGTCGACAAGCCGCTAATCTTATCGCTGCTCAGAAGAACGATATAGCAGTCCTTGGTTCTACATGCTATAAACTGAATAGTCTTCAGGTTTAGCGTTTTAATGTTCCATGTTAATATCATCATTTAGGTCCGCTATTTACTTTCGCATTTTATTGTCGAAAACGGAGAGATACCCTGTGAGAACGAGGTTCTGACCCGTATAGTTAACTTATCGGAACGACAAGCCGACGTTTTAACGCAACAGGTATGCAACTCTTGTTTTTCCATCTGATCTATGTATGTCTTTATAGGATGGCCTTCCATTGACTCTTGAAGAATCCGATCAACTGTCTTTGCCGTTCCTTCTACCGCAAGACGGCTATACAGCAGGTTTCTCTTGAATATTGTGTTCAATTTCATTCTTTCATCTTCAGAACATTTGAGAGATGTACCTGATGGATTGGCTCAATATCTCTTTGGATTACGAGATAAGGGCTTATGTCATTCCGTTAACCTCAACGACCAAATGCCTTGTGGCGCGGATACATCTCAGGTAAACAAACAAACAGTTGTCAAGGCTTAGCGCATTTTGTAAGATTTGCATGTAGAAATAGCCTGTTTTCTTGTTTTAATACCCCTCTTCTAGTTTTATCTCTCCATTTCTCAATTATTTTGCAAATTTCGTATATTTAAGTCGCCTCGTTTTTCCGAACAACCTCAAGGTGTCGTTCCTACATCGGCAGTTCCTCCAGCACCTATGCAAAGGAGTGTTTCACAGTCTACGTTAACTGGCGTTCCTCAGCCATTTGTAAGTCTAATGTCTTTATTCTTTTAAACATATTGTTTTAGAACGAGAGTTATGGTAGCAGATCTGATGAAGTCATCCGCGTCACTCTCAAGCGCGGCAATGGCGGTATAGGATTGAGTATTGTTGCTGCTCAGGTATGTAATTAGCAGACCATACCTCATTTATTGTTTTATTCACAGGGCATTGGTGACAGACAGACTGGAATTTATGTTAAGAAGGTAGTTGAAGGGTCTCCAGCCGCAATGGTGAGCATTCTTCTGAAATCCGTGTTACTTACTTATTCATCATTCAGGATGGCCGATTATCTCCTGGTGATCAATTACTCTCTGTAAATGGACAAACACTTTTAGGAATCACTCAAGAAGAGTAAGACACTTCTTTCATAATTTTTTTCAAGTGTTTTCTTTTAGTGCTGCTCAATGTATGGCTCGTAGTCGAAATGAGGTTCATTTCGAAGTGAAGAAGGGAGCTGCAAATAAGAATGGTTTGGCAGTGTGGCTTCAGTCAAATGCGCCAGTGGTATGTAACGTTCAACGGATTCGTCAAATCATCTAACGCTTTCCAGGGACAAACCGCTCCTTTACCAACCCCACCTAACTCAAACTATGCTTCCCCCTCAGCAACATTGAGTCAACCCATGCACCAAACTCTTCCTTCACGTCCTCCTCAGGTATGCATTCTGTAACCCGCTAAACGTTCAACTATGTTATGTGTTCAGATGCCTCCTGGCCCACCTCCTTATTCTAACTATGGACAACTTCCTAAGTACGGCAGTCAGCAATCCGTACAAGCTCCAACCTATCAACAGCGTCATCAGCAAAGTAGTGTTCTCGTTTTCTTTGTTATTTCTATTTTCTTTTTTCAGTTAGCGCATCCCGTGGTTCTGCTTTCCAGCCCCCTCAGAATATGAACAATGGGGAACCAGCTAGACATGTTCGCTCGATTTCTGCCTCAGAGTTATACCAGAACGATGTACTTTATTAAATTCTCAGAACACTCATTTAATTTTCCATTTCAGCCTAACGCTTCATACTCACAACGTTCAATAGCTAGTACAACAACCGGGTTCGATAAGTTACCTGCCCACTACAGACATTCCAGTCGACCGACTGTCGTTCAACCAGGTGCTTATTTATTATTTTAAGACGTAATAACGGTTTTGTAAACTAGGTCGGCCATGCCCATCTCCTAATACCTTGAGACGAGGAGCACAATCACCAGTGTCATTGTATCGGCCACCAAGTTCGAATGCGTTACACAGACCTCCAAGTGTGACGAATCTATTCGCACCACCCAGGTTTGATAAGAAACACAAGACATTCAGTTCAAGTTATTGTTTTACAGATCTCCCAATCCATTACAACAGCAGGGATATTTAAGTCAAGGAATTAGGGAGAGCACACGGAGTATCGATATGACTGATTATCCTCACGTCTTCCATCACAGTCCTCAATCTTCTCATACTTTGAATTGCTGAAGAGAAAAGAGAGAGAATGAGACATAGAGAGAAAAAAACGTCTTTATCGTCTTGAACGCAAGTCATAATTTATCTGTTCGCTTTCAATTTTTATAGTTCATAGCGGATCGAACTAACAATTCGATTTTTGTTGTTTTATAAGTGATTTATAATCTCTTGTTTATTTACATTCTATAGCAGTGTGCAATTTGCTCCTTCTCTCTATCTGGTGACCGTGACTTCTATGGTTTAACACTACTATCCATGTTTTATGCGCTCATGAAGCTGTTAGCTTCTCACAACTCATCCATCAATCTGACTACGAATGACAAATTAATGTCAATAAGCACTAATTTTATAGTTTATTTTGTTTTTTTCACAGATTGTACCATAGTACTTGTATATTAAGCTGGTTTTGATCATACGGAAGACTGTATGAGCATTTAGTAGAAAGACTACTAGTTAATAAAATATATTGAACAACCCTTTAACCTGATATTATCAAACACGTGACACTTATCATCTATGACCCCCCATGATCATCATCTCTCATCACTTTGCTTAGATTCGCACTACATTCCTAGTTGCTAGCTTTCTATCATGAACGACAAAGTTGCCATCATTGGCAGGTATGTTTCGAATTTTCCTACTTCATTATGTTTTCATGGACTTCAGCGGACTGATTGGATCAAGTTGGGCTACTCTGTTCATCTCTCATGGTTATCGAGTATCTCTTTATGATATTTCGACTGACCAATTGGATAAATCGTATGCACTTATCAATGATAATCTGAATAAACTGAAGGCGGGTCAGAAGTGCGTTATGTCCGTAAGGTCTTTCCTTTTGCAGGAGAAGAAACTCCTGGACAAATGTGTTGAAGAATGTCTTCAACTCATAACGAAGACAACTGATCTGAAAGAAGCTCTAGACGGCGCATTCTATGCTCAAGTTGCAGTTTGATTCATTCCACTCACAAATACCAATTGCAGGAATCTACATGCGAATCTTTAGACTTCAAGAAGAAAGTTTTCAAACAACTTGAAGAGCTGTCCGCTCCCACATGCATTCTCGCTAGTAGCACTTCCACTATACCCGCAAGCAAATTCACTGAGGAGTTGCAACACAGGTTTCTGAGAAGCAGATGAGTTCGCCATACTGATTTCGAAATATTAAGAGAGCGATGTCTTGTCGCTCACCCTGTGAACCCACCTCTTTTCTTGAAACTAGTTGAACTCGTACCTGCTCCTTGGACTAGTAAGACAACGATGGAAGAAAGCAAGAAACTAATGCAAAACATAGGCCAAGTTCTCGAAAGAAACATTTAGAGCAAACTCAATGAAAGTTTCCAGGAACCGGTTAGTCTCACAAAGGAAGTTGTAGGATTTGCAGTAAACCGTATACAATTCGCAATCCTTTCCGAGGCTTGGCGTTTAGTGGAAGATGACGTAATGAGTGCCGAAGATGTTGACAAGGTGATCATGTGGCTTTAGATTCTTATTTGCTAATCAATGCTTTTTGGGTCATGAAAGCTGGATTAGGGCCACGCTATGCTTTTTACGGGCCATTCGAAACAATTCATTTGAATGCAAACGGAGTTGATGATTATATTCAAAAATATACAGCTGGTGTTCGGAATGTGACGGCTGACTTCGGTCCTAACCCTACATTTGAAGAAGAAAATGTGATAGAGAAGTTGAGGGAGTTTCTCTACAAAGCGATGCCGCTGACAAAGCTCAAGGAAGAGGGCCTAGCTCGAGAGAATAAATTAGCCACGTTGGCATTGGTTAAGGAAAAATTTGATTGAATAATATTATATTTAAAATTTAGTATGTGTTATATCATATGTTGTACAGAAATGAAGTTTACCATGACTGTTTTTGGAATTCAAAGAATGCAACCGCTCTCTAGGTGAGGCAAAATGAAACAAGCGTCTGATCCCTTCTCAAACATGTTCATATAATACTGCTCCAGTGACAAAAACATTATGATTAGGTCAAATCCTCTGTTGATGAGGTAGAAGAGGAAAAATGTATTATTGATTATAAATGGACTTTTCAATCATTTTGTATATTTCAGAAAGAGAGAAAAAAAGGAAGAAGGAAATTAGAATATGAATAGCACATATCACTTTTATTCATGTCAAATGTATGATCATAACTAGTAGCTGACCATATGTAGCCTCAGGTTGAATAGCAATTTTGAACAGTTTGTACGTATGTGAAATCCGGTTATTTATTGGACCGCCTCATGCATTCTTTGGGATTATCGCTTACGTCGTCGTTATGGTTCTGATTTTTGCGAGTCATTCATTCGGACTTGTTCGTGATTCTTTTTTGCCTTAAAAGCTACTAAGGAAGTCAAACAGAAAGACATAAACATAATTAAGTTCACTCGTTTCAAATGATTGATTGTTTCAAAATAGTATGCTTGTTGTTTGTATCATTTAACTGTTGTCATGCATCCTTATTTGGTATTGGATCTTCTGACGATGCCAGCTTCCAATGTGAGTTTCGCTCTCCATTTTCATTGTAATCATCTGTTTCTAGCTTATGAACAACTTCAAAAAATACTGGAGGAAGGGAACAAACGATCACAGGAAATAGAAAAGTTCACTAAAGAACACACTATTCGACATAACCAGGTCTCCCCATATATGAGTGTTCTGATCAAGTGACACACCGATTTTCTATTTCAGCGTACGGCTGCCATTGCTTCGGCTTCAAATGTAATGACACCCATAATGAGCAGTACAGGATTTACTGACGCACAAAATTCCGATACTGCTTTTTTAAATCAAAAAATTCAAATTGATCCTGCCAATGAGGCACTGCTTCCCACTCTGTTACCATCCATTGAGTCATCTGGTCTATTGACAACAGTGACACCAAAGCCAAAAATAGTAGCAAGTGTAGCGTCGACTTCGCAGGAGAATGAGGAGTTTCTAGACAGTAAGTATCCTCATCAATGCTTCATATCCATGACATGTTAAGAAATGAGAGTTCAGTCACAGATAGTTCATAATGCGATGATGTCAAACGGACCATCCTTCCTGCCTCAGCAGGGACAAGGTAGCTTTCCCCATATTTTCGTGAGCATTATGTCTTTCCTACAGTTCTCATACTTCGAGATGCCAGTTCATTAGTTCCTGGTGCAATGGTTCCTCCGCCACCACCTCCAGAATTGGCGATGAATCCATTATTCATTGCTCAAGCCTTACCTCCACCTTATTCAGGTAGTATTGTACACTTTAATGCATAAACTGTGCATGTCTCATGGCAGGCTTACCACCCTTTCTGGAACCACAACGCACACGAATAGCTGCTCGTCCAGGACGTTTCGATGATGAACTTCGACCTCGACCACAACTTCCATCACGTGAATCACGAGAACTACTTTGAATTAATCAATCAGATTCTGTGCCACAATCTTATTTGTACATAAAAGATTTCCACTTACGAAGTTACGTCATTTAAATCTTTAAATTGGTTCTTTCGTACAAGGTTGTTAAGGATGAAATACCAGTTCCATGAGGCTTTTTCGTTTTCACAACACTTTCTCATCGGAAATTTCAGGAGAACATGCTGTCTTCACAAACATACTGTGAACTATCGTGTTATTGTTTAGTCTCAATAGTTCGTAGTTCTCAAGAACGAAAAGATCAAAGTAAAGATGTTTACATGTTGTGGTGGCGCGATACCCGAATGGCGCGAAGCTGCCAGGGTATATAAAGAGGAAAATTTAGAAGATATCAGTATCAGTTAGCTCTGCACTGACAAGGATGTCTTTGATTCCACATAGCCGTCACCATCACTCCAATCCTTTCGGAAGAAATTTCGATCACTTCATGGGTGATATGGCTCGTTTCGAGCAAGGTTTCGCTCCTTACTGGAGAGACAACATGTTCCA